TCAGCTCCAATCAGTTCAGTTCAGCTTCAATCAGTTCAGCTCAGTTCAGTAGATGTGAATAGAACCTAAAATATTATTACTCCGTACTCCCTCCTTCTCACATTACTTGTACAGTAAAATATCACAGTATAATGTTTATTACTACGTATACATTTTTCATGTTTTTTCTACTAACAATAAAGCTTTTGTATTATATGTTTTTTTTAATAAAAGAATGAATAAAAAAAAGTACTTTGTACTGTATAACCATGCATAGCACAAGCACGGTTCTAACCTAGTAACAGTATAAATGAAAACAAAAAAAAAAAAAAAAAATTAAGAATTAAACTAAACTTAACTGAAAAGAACATAGCCTAACTCTCCTTTGGGCTAATCTTTTGAATTTGTCTCATGTTTCGTATTATAACTAAGGAAACCTATAACTAATTAACTATTCATAAGAATCTACCAATCCCTCGCCAAAAAGAATCTACCAAACCACTCTTTTTTTTTTTTTTTCGAAACATACCAAACCACTCTTATAGTCAATGTACGGTCTTATCACTTATACTTCACAACAATTCTGTCACACCAACTATTTACGAAGTAATGATACTTAATGGGAAAAAGAAAAGAAGAGGGAGAAATTAGGTCAAAGCTAAGTAGATTCGGGGCAATGCTTAATACAGTAGTATAGTATATTGAGGTAGTATTAATTGAGGTATTCAACCACCATAATTACAAATTAGTGACGTTCCTTTAAAGTGTTGGTACAATCAAACTATGAGACCTTTCTAGCTTTTACTTACAATAAGAATAGTCCTATCATTCATTTGCAATAATTGTCTGGAAACAAGAGAGTGAATAATAGCTCATCTGGTTAAAGCTTTCCTCCCGGTTCCGGGAGATTTTGGGGGATCGATTCTCACCACCGCCCTTGTAACTCTCTAAACACCCGAACGAAGAGAATATTATAGAAGATCCATCTCACACTTGGGTGCACCTACTTCACAAGAGTATAAGACAAATTTGTAGAAATATAATATACTCGTAAAAGTCGTAATTCACAAGTTAGGAATAAGGCAACAATATCCAGCACTCCTGAAGTCCTGAGCATATGGACCATCTGTGATAATATAACAGCAGTCTTAGTTAACATAGTCATTTGATCCCCATAATTACATTAATTAGGCGGTGTTTCTGTAGTGCCAATGTTAGGGTCAGAACCCTATCAATGCATAAACTCTCGACAAGCCCCCAATGGTCCGTCTCATGGTCTAATGACGAGACCAAGTTCTCCTTTGCCATGTGACACTAAAAAAGCGTCTGTGCATAGGCTACAATATATAACTACTCATAAAAACTAGTCTAATCAATACTTCACCACAGCAAGACCTAACCAAAAAAACACTTATTAACAAAATGTCAAAATCAAATCACGAGAAGAAATGAAGAATGTATTGTACGAGCAATTGAGCATATATATTAATGAAAAGAGGCTGATTAGTGAAATAGACAAGCATGTAAGAGGTCTGGATTAGATTTTCAACGAATAACAGAGCAAGCTTTAATCAGACAATGACTAATTGGCTTGTGTTTCTTCAGTACTTTAATAATCGACCAGACGACCACCGTCTCCTTCATACAATGACTTGCAAGGTGCATAGCAGTCCAAAATTAAGCTTATCCTCCGGCCCCATATACACAAGGGGAAACAAGTCAAAAACCACCCACATAGAAAGAACAAGCTACAGCTATGCAACCTTTACAACCGCAAAAAGAAACAGCCACTGCCCACTGAATATGCTCAATAATGAAACCATACTATGACATATCTTCATGGTAGAGATGAAGCCCAAGTCCCAATCGTGCACATGCTCGACGGAAGGCCATTCCTTCAGCCTTCTGTACGGCGTCTCCATAGCCTTTCTCTTCCATTGAAGCAGTTCCTGTTGATTCCCTATATATCTTTTTGATGCAGAGGGGTAATTAATTCAGTACCATTTTCATCTTGAGAGGTAAATTTTAAAAGGAAAAACATATTACGTAATTGGGACATACATTTTCACATCAAAATGATTTCATTCATGAATAAACTACAATTACCCAGGAATCTTAGCAATGTTAACATAGTGGATTAAGCTTGCATAATGCTTATTATGGCTTTTTTTTTTGAGGTAATTAATGGTTAACTTTTGTATGTTCTTTAACTTACACAAATTCCTTGTGGGGTCAGACTCCGATTCACAAATTACAATTCTTTAGTTAGGGGCGCACACGATTATGAGGCATGAGAATGTTTGTTATAGAGCAATGTCAATGGCCTCAATGCAGTCTAGAAGAAGACTAGGTTACTTTGCTAATTGGTACAACCTGTATATTATTACTTGACTACTCCATTTTGGGAGGCAAGAGGAAGCTTGGTGGTAAGCTCTCAACCTAATGACTCTGAGGGCACAGGCCAGGTTTGATTACCATCTCCCACACTCGTTTCGTCTCGTCTTCCCCTCCCCCAAATGAGTGGCATTTTGTAAGTTGGATAACCAATCTCCAATATAACAAGTTATTCACTACTCCATATGTTCCAAAATGACAGGCTACAACAGAGTCTTATTGTCAAACCTTCTCAACTTCATTACATTACAATTATAATATACAAGTATATGATCATGCTTTTCATGATAAATCAAACAAATTTTCACATCATAGCTCATTATAGACTTTGACAAGTTACCGATTAAAGATGGAAGCTTTAAGTATCAAACTATTAAAGACTTCCAATGATTTTAAGTTAAATGTGGCATATTATTATGAATCATAAAGAAAAATCTTGTTGCCACGACTATAATAAATAATATGGTGCAATACAATTTGATATTGCTCCAAGGAAATTGATTTGTCCAGAGAAATTCAAACAGGATGTAACCTTTTATCCCACTAAAAATTGCACCCAACATTGCTAATTCAATCAAAATCATAAATATAACAATCCAACAATGAACGGCATGGGAGCTAATAAGATAAAGGACATATACCTCAGCATCTGTCCCATGAAGTGTAACGCGATAAACAACAGTTACAGACTTGCCATCAGGGGAGTATGTGATATTCCGAGCCTCGCCCGACCATTCTGAAATTCATGAAATGATGGCAAAAACTGAGCTTTCAAGGGAAAAAGAAAAATCACTTAAAAAAGTACTATAAAGTAACAAAACCAATGCTTTGTTGAATACCTGGAGCATGTAAGTTCATAATTCGATTCACAATATGCCTGAAATAGTGCAAAACACCAATTAAGCAGCAAATCAAGCACAAAATTCATATATTGTCATCAATACTCAAACCTAAAACACACCAAAAAGAACCCCACAATATCTTAATCCCCAATAAGTAGACACATTACCCGACAGTAACAAAAAAAAAAAAAACAATCATTAACAGACCAAACAAAATGTAGCATTATAATTTTGAAGAAATTTCAAGTTGACCAAACACCTACATTACTCCAACTCTTCACTTAACCTCAAGTACCCGTGTCGAATCCTCAACACGAACAAGTCAAGTCTAGCTCTTGGACACATACCCACGTCTAATAGACTAAACCAGCATCAATTGATCAAAATTCAGCTAAAAAGCACCAAAAACTGTGAAATTAAAACCAAAAAAGTTGCAGAAGTTACCAAGGAATATATTTGATAGAAACCCCATTTTCAGGGCGAACACTAATAAGAGAATCAGGAACTTTTTTGTTGAGTTGTTTAAGAATCTCAGACATGGGTCTACTAATTCCTTCAGTGGGTATTTCACCATACTCTTCTTCTTTGCTTTTTCTTCTATCGTCATTTGCTGCGTTAGAGTAGCATAACTTGTACTGCAACTGCGCGCAGCCGCAGCCGCAGCCGCAGGGGCAGGGTTTGAGGAAAGAAGGGGTTGATGATGTTAAAGAAATCTGATTCAGAAATGATGACGATGATAAGCTGATTGATGTCGTTGATTTTCTCAGGGATTTGAGTATAGAAAGCGCCATTTTTCTCTGCAATTGTTAAACCCTTGTCGAGAATGGAAACTTTGGAGTTTCGATTGCTAAGAATGAGGGTTTTAGGTTTTTAAAGTTTGAGTTTTAGTTAAAGGACATCATTTTGTATTTTGGGAAATTGTACGTAATACACGAGGTATTGATTATTCCACGTTGTGTCCATTCCTTTGAAAAGTTTCACGCTGTACCTTAAGGTTCCAAAAGTGAAATTAATTTTACTGAACTGAAATTATTTTTACTGGTTTTTTTATTATAATATTTCTTTAAGAAAACTAAATTTTACTGAACTGAACTTATTTTTACTGAAATGAAATTATTTTTACTGAATTGATATTAATTTACAGAACTAAACTTATTTTTACTGAACTGAAATTATTTTTACTCCGTACTTAATATTATTTTTTTAAGGTTAAGTGAACAGGGCCTTAATGGAACCAACATAATACTCTCTCTCTCCTCTCATTCTTCCAATATTTTTGTTTTTTACAATTTTTTATTTTTTCAACTATCCCACTACCTCCATATTTTACTACTTTCTCCAATTTTTCCTAAAACTCCGCACATGAGAAATAGAGCAAATATTTTAAAACGGAGGGAATACTACAAAGTACGAAGTACTAGACAGTCTTAGTACAATGGTTCTACTCCCTCCGTGTACTATTAGGACTTTCAGTAATATTAAAAGTAGTTAAATCTTTTTCAATGTCTAACTACTGTTAGACATTGGGACTTCTTCCTCATTTTTGATTCACTAGAAAGAGGTAATACAAACTTAAAAATTTATAATGCATGCAAATTAAGGTTATCATGGTCATTTTATTTTATAAGCTGGAGGCAGTTTTGTCATTTTATCTGCTTCTTCCTCTATTACTCCGTTCTCTCTTGAGGAATCAATGAAACTTGCACAAATTTCCAAAGTGTCACTTCTCCTAGTGTTCGCCCAATCGGATGCTTTCTCTAAAGGCCCTATTTTACACACTTTGCTACTAGGGTGTCTTTTTATTCGCTCGACTACTTTACAGCCGTAGATTGGTATTTCAAGAGATACTTTTCTTAAGATGCGCCATTGTTATTGAGAAAAGAAGAAGAATGGAAGACAAAGACAGAGAGATGGGGGTGATTGTTGTAATGGGTTTTGGTGAGGAACTAAAGGTTGTGATGGTGTGGTAGTCGAGGCTATGATGGGTGGTGAGTGTAATGATTTCCCATTTTAGATTTTTTTAAATGAAAATAAACCGTTGATTTACAAATTCCGCTAATTAAACTTATCAATTGGGGCTTGCTCTTCGCTGAAATGAGAGGATTTGTAAGTTGTAACTGAATTTAGGCTTTATTTGGTTCGTCTTAATTAAGACTTTGTTGGTTGCATTTAAATTCCGGGGAAATACATATTGTTGGGAAGTTCATTAATTTTAGTAATTACTGTTTGGTTAACAATATGAGAAGTTGATATCAATTGGGAAATTAGGATTCCTACAATACAGGGGAAATAATTTACCAACCCCTACATGGGCTATATTGGTAACTCAAACTTCCTACATTTATATTGGTAAAAAATAAAATTACATTACTACCATTTTTAAAATTGTTATATTACATTAATACACAAGAATTACATGAGTTTACCAAACAAAATATAAGATAATTAGTGGGAAATACATTTTTTTTTAGTGTCAACCAAACATGATAATAGTTTCCTCCAAAAAAAAAAAAAAAGTTAAGTGCATCATTGACAAAATCTCATATCATCACATGCAATCACTTGTTCGAGAAAATCAAGAATTACTCGAGACTTGCAAAATCGATAGGGCATGCGGGTTAAATAATTGCCCGAGACCAAAAATGAGATAGTCCATGTTATAAATTCCAAAGGGTATAGAGAAGCTAAGTATCAAAAAAACATAGAGACACTTTGGGATGAAGATTCCCTTACACTTCTCCTCCACTTTCAACTTTCAAAGTATCTAGCCCACTAACACGGTTGGGAGGACATTTGAGAGGTTTCGATCCAATAGGGCCCTTATCCTTACTAATTTTTTTTTTTTGAAAAAGTGTCAAAACTTGATGCATTCAACCCAATCTAATCGAAAAAAAATCCAATTCTAATTTTAAACTCGCATGAAAACAATGATTTTACATAACTCAACTTTAAAATAAACCCGACTCAACCTAATACGCCCGACCTCATTATCAAAACTGACACATGGCTGATGGGTGTAACTCTTGCCGTGCAAGCGGTTACATAGGAGAAATCAGACGTTTGAGAGAAACAAAAGGAAAATAAAAAGCGAGGGAAAAAAAATGCTCAGCTCATCTCCTCTTTCTCTCTCCTACACGTTCGCTTCTTCTCCCATTCCTCTCATCACACCATTTTTGCAATATTCAAAGCTCCAAAAATGTCTACTTTATTCCATTGGAGAAGGTTGTTGGGGCAATCTGCGTTGCGTCGAATCCTCTTTTCCGGCGAAGATCGGTGGAGGAAGATGATTCAACCGCCGGCGCTCATCAATTTCCCGGCGAGAAATCAAGAGAGATGCAATTGGGGCGGCGATTTCCCTAATCGTCGGAGAATAATGGCGGAGGTGAATTGCCCTAGGTGTTCTAGGATTATAGATGTATTTTTATCTAAAAATCAAAATCAAAATCAGAATCTAAGTCATGTTCATAATTCGTCAATTGAGGGTGATAATGTTGTAGAATTTGATTTTCAAGCTGTTTGTCGTTGCCCTAATTGTAAATCTGAATTTTATTTTCGTCCCCATAAAATGGATCCTGTTCATGGGAGTTTTCTGGAGATTGGGAGCTCTGAGAATGGTAGAAATAATTCTAATAACAGTGTAATTAATAGTGATGATGGTAATGATAATGACGAGAAATTTAAGGATAATGATGATTTCAGGATTTCCTTGAAATATTGGGAGGCTATGAAGAATTCATATATTGGTGGTGGTGGTGGTGGCGGGAGGAGTGGTGAACCGCCTTTGAATGTTGAAAATGAGATGATGATTCACAATCCACCAACTCCGCCGTACATAATAGGGGTTCATTATTCTAGGGGTCATGGTCATGGTCGTCGTGGTGGGAAGGGGAAAGATCGGCGAAATGGGGGGAATGAGAATGATCCAACTGGTTGGGGAGGAGCAGATTTAGGGAAGAATTTGCCTACGCCGAAGGAAATTTGCAAGGGATTGGATAAGTTTGTCATTGGACAACACCATGCCAAAAAGGTTTGCTCTTATTGTGAGCTTATTGAATATTGATATAGTTTTTGAATTGCTGTTGTTTTGTGATAATTGTTGTCTATTTTAGTTTATTTTAGGAAAATTTGCAAATTGCAGCTATTTAAAGTTCGTATTTTGCAAATTGCAGCCCAAAAGTTCGTATAAATTTGCAAAAAAAAATTTAAATGGCTGCAATTTGCAAAATACGAACTTTAAATGGTTGCAATTTGCGAATTTTCCTTTATTTTATTTGGCTTTGTAGTTTAGAAAAACTTGTAACTTGTTTGTTGGAACTAGAACCTTGTTATCTTATTCATTCTCCGAATGTGTTATCTTGCATACTTACCTTTGACATAGAGATAAAGACGTGTGTAAAACTATGGGGTTGAAGGAGGAAAAAGTAGCACGCCGTATGAAGTTTACTTTAAAAGGCACTTGTGCTATTAGTTTCTAACAACTAATGTGTGAAACCCATTGTAGTCCACTTGTGAATGTCCCACATTGAAGAAAGAGGAGAGATGATTCCACTTTATAAGGTAGAGGAGTTACTCCTACTATTGCCAATTGGTTTTAGTATGGAAGCTCCAAAGCCTTGTTTGTGGACCAAACTCTCCTTCTCCTTGTTCGGGTTGCCCAGACCCATTTCATATTGTTTCGAAATTTATCACAATGCAAGTGTGCAAGACTTATATTGTCAATTTTGCACCATACTATCATTATATCACACCATTGACTTAGTGCTTGAAACAAGGATCTCGCCTAGGGTGTAGCAGAATGGGCAGCCATAGTAATTACAGAAACATTGTTGTAAATTGACTCTTTAATCCTTGTAGACCTATGTACTAATGATAATTTTTTCTCGATTTCTTGAAGAATTTTCTATGGCTTTAATAGTTGGATACTTGCTATAGTAGTTCTCATTTTGCAGGTCCTTTCTGTGGCTGTCCATAATCATTATAAAAGGATTCAACATTCTTCGATGAAAGGGTTTGTCCTGAGAACCATCTCTATTTTTTGTTGCTCCTTTTCAAATTTCCGTTTCTTTTCAAGAGTGCAATAACACGTGCTCTGATCAGCAAATATTGAAATTATAACACTTCCATATTTCTTAAGCTATCTGTTGCTGGTTACTGTGTGCCTCGTTTTATAACTAAATGATTTTGATACTAGATCAGAAGCGCAGTTACATGCTATGGAGGCAGAGGATGATGATGTAGAGTTAGAGAAGAGCAATGTCATATTGATGGGCCCAACTGGTTCTGGTAATGATTTCTGATTCCTATCTATTATTGCAAACAATGTTTCTTTTTGGCAAAATTAAGTAATATATATTTTTTAACCTAAATTTGTTGGTTTCCAAATACAAAACAGGAAAGACACTTCTTGCAAAAACACTTGCTCGCTTTGTAAATGTGCCATTTGTTGTTGCAGATGCAACAGCCTTGACACAGGCAAGATTTCTCTCCTTAGGTCATTATAGGTGTTTAAGTTGACTATTTTACTACAATTTGACATACTTTGGGTCCATAATAAATTATCATGTGCCTACTTTCATATCAGAGTGTTTAATTTCAACATTGGAACTTGAGGTAAAGATTATATTGAAAAAGGGTATGAATAACACAGATAAAGACAAGGTAGAAGTCGATTAAAAAAAAAAAAACCCCTCACCGATGCTTACACTTTTAGTACTCCCATTGGTTTCCTCCCAATTTATTACTCCCTCTGTCCTTATTATAGTGTTCGTTTCTCATTTTTCCCGAGGTATCAAGAAAACAGGAGTATTAGAGTATATTATTGAAAACTTAATCAATAAATTTATAAAAATTCAACAATTTTATTTATTTAACTCTTTAATCCGTTTTCAAGGAAATTAATAACAGCACGCTGCACGTCTGCACAGTTAATCATGCTATCATGCATTTTTTTTTTAAACCAAGCTAGGAATACCATTAATCAAGAATTGGACAAATTGTCCATAAGTACAAAGGGGGCAATAGCGGAGGGACAGTGATGTTCCCACACTAGCTCATAACCAAACGGAATTATCCTAGCTAGGTGATGGGCGACAGAATTCCCATTCCTACGAACATGCGACCAAGAGACAAAATCAAAGTCTTTACAAACGAACAAAACATCATCAAGAACAGAATCAAGATCAGAGAAGAAAATAATAGCTTTCGAGAGACGATTTATGACGACTTGGCTATCTGATTCAACCACCAAATTCTTCACACCATACCTTCTTGCAAGCTTTAGGCCGAAAAGGATGGTTTTGCTTTTTGCTATTTCTGGGCCAGCCGCCTCGAGTTCTGCGAGTTCCAGCAAACAACACCTCACCACTTGCATTCCTTGCCACTGCACCAAGGCCTATCCACCCTTGTCTCGCAGACTAGCATCACAATTGATCTTTATAAAATCAGCTGGGGAGGGCTACATACCTTTGTGCTTCTTTTCCTTCGCATTCCAACAACACCATATATCTTAGCCAAGTACTTAACACAATCTTCTACAGCTTTTGCACCCTCTCTATTATCACAAGGTGCGGCACATCCTTGCCATTAAATTTTTTATCATTTCTTTTGCTCCACAGGTACCACAGTAGAGCAGAGCCCCTCTCAAGCATCTTTTAGAGTCCGTCTTTTGCCAACGCACCATCATTTCCTTGAAGTCTTCATTCGAGTTTGTAGGCGCAAGAATATCACAGTCAAGTTCCTTCCATAAGTCACGCACTGTGTGACAGAAAAAGAGAGCATGACTCAAGGATTCACTCATGGAAGGGCACCATGGACATGAGTTTGACTCAGCCATGTGTCTGTAGTGGAGCAGGTCTCGGTTTGGGAGGGAATTGGTGCAAGCTCGCCATAAAAATTGCTTCACCTTTGGTATCGTCTCGAGATTCCAGATTACCACCCATGCATCATGAAATTCTTCTAGATTACCGGACTTGTCGAGTAGATAGGCAGTCTTGACAGAATAAATGCCGTCATTCTAAAAAGCCCAAGTTAATTGATCCTTGGGGGTGCGAATACTAATGGGAATTTTCATGATACATGCCAATATGCTATGTCACGGGCCTCAAAGTTCTCAGCAATCAGTTCAAAGTTCCAATCTCTTCTCTGCTAGTCAAGTAAGTCACCCACCATAGTAAGACCATCTGCTCGGGGAAAGGATATGCTTCCCTTGCTCATTTGCAACCCAGGGATCATCATAAATATTGATTGATCTTCCATCCCCAACTCTCCAAATAAGCCCCTCCTTCACAGGTGCTTTCGCGCTCCAAATACTACGCCATGAGTAGCTTCCGTTCAATCCAGAGAAGCATGAGGGGATAGTACTTTCCCTTCATGACTCGAGCAAAAAGGGAATTTGGAGCAGAGATAAGTCTCCACGTCTGCTTGCCAAGTAAAGCATCGTTGAAGACTGCCATATCACGATATTCGAGTCCCCTTAGACATTTTGGTTGACACAGACGGTCCCAATTGATCCAATGCACCTTGCGACGATGATCCTTATGCCCTCACCAAAATTTAGCGACCATTGACCTGAATATCATCAATCACACTCCTCCGAATCTTATATACCCTCATATGATAAGTGGGCATATCTTGTACGACCGACTTACTCATCACCTTTTTAGCCGCCCGAGACATAAACTTTTCTTTCCATCCATTGAATTTCTTCCAGATTCTGTCCTTCAATGAAGCAAAAACCATTCGTTTCGATCTCCCTAAAATAGTCGAAATGCCATACTTCTCATGCTCATTTACCATTCTCATCCCTAGAATTTGAATCAATTCTTCCCGCTTCGACTCACACACACATTTGCTAAAAGAGACTTCTGATTTTTCATAGTTAATTTTCTATCCAGAAGCTACTATCTTGGGGCATTCCTCTTGGTTGGCTCTAGCAAAGAGAAGACTGTCGTCAGCAAAAAAGAGATGAGAAATTTTCGGCCCATTTCTACTGGCACCCGCACCATGAACAAGCCTGTGATCCGACGTTTTTTTGATCAAATTCGAGAAAGCATCAGCAATGATGATGAAATGATAAGGGGAGAGCGGATCACCCTAAGGAAGTCCCCAAGAAGGAACAACACTACCACAAACATTCCTGTTAATGATAAAAGAGTAAGATACAATAATCACGCAACTCATCACAATTTGAACCCATGACTCAGCAAATCCCATTTTCAAGATGAGTTTCTCTAGGAAAACCCACTCTACTCTGTTGTACGCCTTACTCATATCGAGTTTCATTGCGATGGTTCCCTTGCGGCTCGTACTTCTTTTCTTCATGGTATGAAAAAGCTCCATGGCAATCAATGCATTATCTATAATCAATCTCCCTTAGAAGAAAGCACTTTGATTTTTCGAGATAACATTCGACAAACTTTCCTGTAGTTTCATGACTAAGACTTTCGAGGCAATTTTGTATAAGACTGTAGAGTGCTATCGGTCGAAACTCGGACATGGAGGTGGGGGAGTTTACCTTCGGGTTTAATGCAACATTTGTATTATTCACCAAATTTGGGGAAGTATTGCTTCACACTCTAAAAACCGCGTCACCAAATAACATGCCAAAATTTTTGATAAAAAAATGGCATGAAGACCATCCGGTCCCGGGCTCTTGTAAGGATGCATAGAGCTAATTGTCGTATAAATCTCCTCCTTGTCGTATGGTTTAAGGAGTGCATCATTATCTTTAGAGCTAATGGAGGGAGTGATTGCATCAAAAACCCGCTCACAATCCTCCATTGTAGGACCTGAAAAAGTAAACAGGTTAGTATAAAAATGCTCAGCAATTTTTTCTATGCCTTCTTCATCAGAACACCAACTCCCACTTGCATCAAAATGCCCCTTAATCTCATTGCGTTTTCTTCTCTAAGATGCCTTGTGATGGAAGTATTTAGTGTTGCGGTCGCCATCCTTTATTTTCGAAGCTCTAGATTGGAGATACCAATAAGCTTCCACCTTCTCAAAGAGGTCATTTAGAGTCTTTTTTAAAGCCACGCACCTATCAATATATGCTGCTGAAATACCCTGTCCTTGCGCTTCTTTTAATTCTTTTTCAGCCTTATCAACCTTCATGTCAAGATTAGAGAATTTACTTCCACTCCAGCGTTTTAGTGCAGCAAGAGTAACACCCAATCTAGCCTCGGTTGGAGATCCAACAGACCCAACCCAAGCTTCTTTGACCGTGGCTTCAAAAGAGGGGTCAAGAAGCCAAGCAGTTTCAAAGCGCAATGTCTTCTTTGCCTTTAGCTTGTTGCGTTCTCAACAAAATCGGGGTATGATCTTATTTGTACTAGAGCCAAACACTCCACAAGGCATTGGTATTTCCTAGAAAATTGTATTTCTAAAGAAAATTACCTTCAACATACTTTTACTATGTTAGTAAAATAAGCTCTGGTATTGAAAACCGGCATAGTTCTTTGTTCCGAACTATCGAGTTTTGACTTCCTAATTAGTGTTGGAATGCAAATCCTATATAATTTATCCTCATGAGCGAATTGGTGTAGGTTTTGGCTAGCATTCTTATCCCAAGGCTTGGTACTCTAGGGGTTTATAGGGAACATCTTGCCCAAACTAGAACTACTTTGGTAAACAGTGATGTGAATCAAGAGGGTAATTCTTTTGAAGAGCCAATTACATTGAGTTTACGTCCAATAGGGTTCGAACTTGGAGGGAAAAGTCAAGGATGGGTCACTTGTTTGATTATCAAGGAAGAAGGAAATTTTATGCTTAGTTTTTTGTAGAGTTTTGCTTCGAAGTTTTTACCTTTCACTCGAGAGGGTTTTTCTTGGTTTAAGCACTTAGGATTAAGTTTATTTTCTGTTATTTAGTTGCTATAAACTTCCTAAGTATATTAGGAAAGTTTTTAGTTTGTTTAGGATTAGTTTTCCTATTCTAATTAGAAGTAGTTTCCTATTTTGTTAGGATACTTGGGGGGCAAGGTTAGGGGTTTGTCCTAATCCTTGTAGGGATGGAATTAGCTTATTTTTAGTCTATATATAGGAGAATTTCGTGGCTCCTAGAGTCATAGAAAATCAGATTAATTCAATACAATTGTTTAGCTTTGTTTAAACACTTTCTTTGCTAGTTTTCAATTCAAGGAGTTGTTTTGATAATTAGGATGTGCAATTCTTAGTTCTAGGAGTAGTCTAAGATTTGTTCATCAAAGTATCTAGTTCTAGGAGTAGTCTAGATAATTTGATCAGGCATTGAATCCGTTCCAGGAGTGGTCGTTTTCAAGGTCATATCCGGTTACTTTCATTTGTTTTTGGTTCGAATTTCTTATCAAGAACGAAGCTTTATTCTACTTGTGTGATTTTTTAGATCTTTTATTAGGTTAAAGGGCTTTAATCCACATCAAACAGTCATAGTGTTCTTTTGAACCTGTTTTGGCTGATGCTTAACTACTTTGTTGCTGGTGCATGAAGATCATATTGTGATTTTAAAAGCATCTTTTGGTCAAAAAATTGGAGGAATTAGCAAAATGTGAAAGAAATTAAAAGATATAACTGACCATAAGACTATGAGCTGAATACACATTAACCTCTGAGTTGATCTGTTATATATCACCTGATCACCCATCATCAAATAGCACAAATCTAGATTGCCAAATGCTTTTCAATTAACTCTTGTCCAGATCATTCAAATTCTACTCTATAGTTGCGAATCATCTCTTAATGGATCATCGGTCAAGTAGCAGTCTGGATTGTTAGATGCCTGGAAGATAGGTCTTTCTTGACTGGTTCATTTATATAATTTCTGTACTTATTGATGGTTCTGGTGGTAAGGGTGATGGACTGATCTGTTACATAAATAAACTCAATTTGGTTGACTTATAACCTTAGGAATGAGGCTAGTGCCTCATTCCTTAGTCCTCAAGCTAGGCTAGGTGCAACAAGGACAATAATCTGGATCCGAGGCATTTGATGTGCAACTGCAAGGGCCACAGGATGGGCGCCCCCACTTTATGCTTTTCTTTCACTACTCCCCCCTCCCCCTTATTAAAAAAATAGAGCATGATAAGAAGATTAATAGCTACCTCCGTTAGATTTTCCATATTCTCTTAAGGGTGACTTTCCATTTCTCTTTTTGTTAAGCTATTCCTCCAAAAATAGACCTGTACATCCGTAGCAATAATATAAAGTGGGTTACATGGATTGTGCTATCACATGGGTGTGTATGCAAAATGCTAGCTTGGCACGAGGAGAAAAAGAAAATGAAAAACAGAGGTTTTAAATTTTTTTGTTTTGGCAAAATATGTAGAACATATAATCTACAATGTTTTTCAGAAAAGTGTGCTTCACATGCTTGATGTGTGGCCTTCGTTTTGTAACTGGAATCACTTAATTGTTTTATGCCTCTAGCTCCTTTGTGCTTTATAAAACTGAGTTTGTAATACCTTTTGTAATTTTTATTGTCTTGAATTCTCTAGCCGCTTTCAGGGTCCTATAAACGTGTGATTCCTTTCTTTGCAGGCTGGCTATGTTGGAGAAGATGTCGAGGCAATATTATACAAGTTGCTTATGGTATGGCTAGGTTGCCACAATATTGTAGTTCAAAGTGATCTTTTCATTTCTTGGCTTATTTTGTTTCACTTCAATTACTTGCACAATTATGTGAATTGTTTTTAAACTTCTATTTTTCCTTTGGAAAAAGGGGTGTTTTTTTTGGGGTGGTGGTGATGGTGCATGAACTTAAAAGTACCCTAGACAGAGCTTAAAGACTCCCATTAGTTTGAGACAATGGGATCACTGTAAGCTTCTATACTTTTATTCTTCAACTTTTTGAGTTGCTAATTTATGGTATTATGGGCTGGATTGAAGCCAATTTATGGTATTATGAGTAAGGTCCGTTCTGCCTGCAAAAGTGTTAAGGGTGCTCGATTTGATATTTATGAAATCTCATTTCTTAGTGCTTAGACTTTTTCAGTGTTTACTGGTTTTGCCTTCTTGGTGAAAGACTTTAAAGATGTCATTGTTTTTTTTTTTCTTTTGTTTTAAATGAGATTGTGCTTGAGTACAATAAAGGAATTTCTATTCTGTGAGGAGTGCTCATGGACTGGACATGCACAATGGAAGTATAAACATGAAATATTTGCAAGACTGACCATTAACTTATGAGTATTGATGTGTTAGGAGGTTTTTGGATTCCCATAAAATTTTTTTGCCAGTCTAGAAAGGATTGAGGAGTAATTTTGTCATGGGCTAAAGTTTGAAAGCAAAAGCTAATTGTCAGTTGGTAGAGAAGCTATGATTATAGGAAAGTATCAATCTTATGTTCACATTAAAATGATTTCTGAATGCATATAAAATTATTCATGTTTTGCAGCTACATGCAGCTGTTCCATTGCAAATTAAGTTTCTTGTTTAATATATATATTCATGTACTTGTAATGCTCAATCTTTGTGTGGTCTTTTGTTCTATATATGTCCTTCATTATCTGTTTGTAACTTTGTGCTGATTTATCAAATTTCTTCAGTCTTATAACTATTACCCTCCTTTACAAAGAACGCTTATATGATCTGTAAACGTAATTACTTAATGCTAAGGCTGCAGATTTCAATGTTCAAGCTGCTCAGCAAGGGATAGTCTACATCGATGAGATTGATAAGATAACTAAAAAGGTTAATTGATTTCCGTAAAGAAATGCTCTGATATGTCTATGGTTTCATACTCCAAATTTTTTATAAAAGAGAAATTGGATATACAGGCTGATAGCATGAATGATAGTAGAGATGTCTCTGGTGAAGGTGTTCAGCAAGCATTGTTAAAAATCCTCGAAGGAACTGTAAGTGATTCGTTCCATGTTAATCATTTATTATTTTGATTATTGTGCTATGACAGTTATAACTTCTATCTATAGTTTCTAACCCCGGTCCTATGATAATCTTACACTTGGGTTTGGCACAATTACAAACACTAGATGTTAAACATAAACAAATCTTGGAAGTGAATTTATAGGGTAAAAGATGAGAAGGTGCAGAGATGGATTGAGTGAGGAACGGAAAAAAAAAAAAACTCAATTATTGACTTTATCTTAATATTGAAGTGTGAAATAAATTTAAGGTTGATGGGATGGAGAAAGAAATGGTTTGATGTGATGAAGAGACAAAAGGGGAAATATAGCTATTTTATTGAAACGGAGAGGGACTTAATGATTTATCGAGCATTCGAAGTCTCATGTCATGATAAAAACATAATGTTGTTTGTAAGTGAAGGATTGATGTAATGTTCTTGCTATCTATACAGTGGTTAGTTGCTTCTATATCGTTCAAAAAGACACCATTGGGTTTGAGTTGAAAAAGGAGGAAGAAAGCCTAACCTCTTTATTATAGACTCTGTGCACTTTTAACTATTCTTTGTGGCATCGCCTTTGATGTTTGTGGCTTTTAATTCTTTGTCAGGTTGTGACTGTTCCTGAAAAGGGAGGAAGAAAGCCTTCTCGTGGAGACCCTGTTCAGGTACATACAACTAAATTATCTTCATCTAATGTTCACTTTTCACACAATTTCATTGATACTGTGGGTGGCAGAAGGTTTTAGGAGAGTGGTTGTATCACTTGTCTGGCTTGTCATTGTAAGGGTACGAATGAAGGACCATCATAGTAGGAAAGAATCAGTCAAAACACCTTATGTGAATTAAAATTCTGTGTGTGGGGGGGGGGGGGGACCCGGTCGAGCACCTTCAAAGTAAGATTTTTGGGACTTGGAAAGTGAAAATAATTTTGTCTTATCAAGGATCTTGGACCAACTTCCAGTTATCTGCTGCAGATGCTGCTGTAGGCTCCTCAATAGCTGAGCCATAGGAGTACAATAGAAAAGGTAAAGAGCTGATGTAAGATTCAGGTACTTAGGTAGAGAATTAGCAATTTAGGACCATAGCATAGTTTCATATGTACGAAGTATGGTACATTAATTTTCCTTTTACTAAATTAGTTTTGTATGCTTTAATTGATTAGTTAGCATATAAAATTTCTCATCAACCTGTCAAATCTCTTTTCCTTTTTCTGGTTTTATTTTTTGGCGGGGGTATGGGCTCAGTTTTGCAAAATATAATGTGATCCTAGTGGAGGAAAGACTGAAAATTAGGCATTCAGTTATCACTGTTGCTGTATTTTAAAATAATTCACCTTTTACAAAACATGAAAACACGATTCTCTTAGCTTGAGAAGTTTCATGCTTGCTGGCTCTTCTAGTAATCAGTTTGCTTCATTCACTTCGAGTCAGTGTTGTGGTTCAAGACACCTATAAATGCCAGTGGAAACCTATCATACACATCACATTGACTCAAATATTTAGAAGATGGAGCCCTCTTGTGTCAACTATATAAAGCATAGATTTCCAAAGTTCTATTCATGTTCATGATTTTAGTAACTTCTTGGGGGGCAAGTCTTGCCGTATTATCACTGATTATGGCTAGAATGGAGGGTAGAGATAAGAAGTGAATATGAGTTGAAAGATGGTGTAATTTACAGTCCGTTACGTACTTTAATTTATATTGGGGTTCGTTTTGATCACACATGCATGTTTCATATAATCAAAGTTTCTGGTCATTAGCATTGCTATTCACTCATTTTATCCTTGACTATGACCCCTGAATTCTTTAGATTAATGTTTGCTCCGGATTGGGTGATCCTGGATTTCTGGTTGTAGATGTTTACTGCCATGCTCCTGATATGTTTTGCATGTCGTGCTTTTCTTTCTTTCTTCTTCTTCTTTTTTTTTTTTTTAATTAATTAATTTATTTTTTATTTTTTATAGTAAGGCCTTGTTCACTTCATCTAATTTTTGCTGAACTTAAATTAAACTTAAATTAACTACACTAAACTGAAATTATTTTTGGTGACTATCTATTATATTTCTTCTTTAAAATTAGCGAATTTTACTTAATAGAAATTATTTTTACTGAACTGAAATTATTTTCTCTGAACTAAACTTATTTTTACTTAACTAAAATTATTTTTACTGAAATGAAATTATTTTTGCTGAATATTTTATTTTAAGGTGAAGTGAATAGGGCCTAAATGATGAATGTCACTCTGTTTCCCTTGACCAACCCCTTCCCTTGGGTCTCATAGTGATCTGGACTCAGGCTACTGCTAATTGCCTGACTTAAAATCACCTAGTTGTTTGAATGCCCTATTAAACTTCAGCATTCCCATTGGCTTTATGCAGATTGACACTAGAGATATTCTTTTCATCTGCGGTGGTGCCTTTGCTGATCTGGAGAAAACAATTTCGGAGAGGTAATGTAATTGAAAAGGGAATAGATTGCCAGAAGGAGATCATTTGATATGTTTTTTTTCCTCATTATTTATATCTTTATTGAAACTCGATTACTGCCAGACGACAAGATTCTTCAATTGGTTTTGGTGCACCTGTCCGGGAAAACCTGAGAAATGCTGGAGTGGCTAGTGCTGTGGTGACTTCAGCTTTACTTAAGACTGTGAGAATCCACTCCCTGTTACATTGCAAAGATTTAATTCTCTTTTTACTATTACACAAATATGTGTTTAACTTGTCTGCCTTCATCATTTTTTAGTTTCTTTTGTTTTGGACTTGCCTTTATTTAGAAGTAATGATATTATACTAAGTTGTTAAATAATCTTCTTACTTTCAGGTAGAAAGTAGTGATCTTATTGCCTATGGTCTCATTCCAGAATTTATTGGCCGCTTCCCAATTTTGGTTAGTCTATCATCATTGACCGAGGACCAACTAATGCAGGTAACGGTCCTTATGAGTTGTGATAACATATGATGATGTTATTATGGTGAATAATTGCTTCTACATACAATTATACAAAGATAAATCAACCCCTTGTGAATATAGGATCTTTCCTTGTATATGAGCTAAAAGTTAACTGAACTAACGTTCAAAGTTTCACCTGATTCTTGTTTTCCCACCTTTTCAAAGTTTTAGCATTTGGCCTTTTATTAACATGTTGGCTAATGGCTAGGTAAGCTCAGTGCATTTGTATGTCTAGTTTGTGTATAGGCCTTTGAGATACTGTCATATTGACGGGATGTTATCTATGGTGTTTTTATTTGTTCTACTTGTATATTTATGCATAGAAGATTGGAAAGGCATATAATTTTCTTTTGAGAATATGTCTCAGTTTCTGTTCGATTGGGAGGAAGTGCTTACTTTTTACTTCGTGTGTAATCAGTCAATCTTGGCTTTGATGGGTAGAAAGTATTTTACTTCATCCGTATACTAACGATAAGTAGCAGATATATTTCGAAAGACACAAAGGGTGTGTCATCCATGTACTTAAGGAGGGTTAAGGAAAATCTTCATGTGTTCAAGCTAAAATGAAACTTGAAACTTAGATGCAGGGAGGCTATGCCCTCAAAATTCATTGGTTTCTTTGAATCCAAGTTTACCACCAAATTGTCAGTAAAATCATCTTCCACATTTCATCAAGCCGACCTTTATTCACCTTCTCTTATGTCTCTTTTTTCTATGATGTTAACTTCATGCAAGATTTGTCTTTAGATAGCTTATGTGATTAACTTTACTTCCCCCCTCCCTCCCTCCCAATCAGACGGTGCCTTAGTTGTACGTGTCATTATTGTTTCTATAGGTTGGATGATGATTCCTCATGTGTAATTGTGTAAAGGGTTCAGTTTTGCCGACTCATGTGTGCACTTGCCATCTTTGTCTATGAAAAAGCCAATTCAAGTAACTGTTCATTAGCTGATCTAAATTGTCTCTGCAGGTCCTTACTGAACCAAGGAATGCTCTTGGGAAGCAGTATAAGAAATTGTTTATTATGAACAATGTAAGATTTTAGGCATTTATCTCTGTTACCATCCTCCCTCTCTTAAGCTTTTAAGCTACAAGAACTGCTTATCATGAATGATGCTATATCTTGCATATTATATCAATTTCTCTTATATTTTGCACATACTTGAAAGTATTTTATCTTGCTACACATATAGCTATACGAAATTATGACCTTATTCCTCCATGCATTGATTTGTGCATATTTTTTATTTCAATACTTAGGTGAATCTTCACTTTACAGAAAGAGCTTTGAGATTAATTGCCAAGAAATCAATGGTCAAGAACACTGGTGCAAGGGATTTAAGATCCCAACTGGAAAGTGTACTAACAGAGGCTATGTATGAGGTATGTGGTTCCTGTTAACATATGTGGCTATTGAAAACTGTAGTAACCTGATATTTGTAATACTTATATGAAGGCGTGTGCTTATCTGCAGATCCCAGATATGAAGGTGGGAAATGATGAGGTAGTTGCTGTGGTGGTTGATGAAGAGTCTGTGGGCTCTGTTAATACTCCTGGATGTGGGGCCAAAATTTTTCGTGGAGATGGTGCATTGCAACACCATCTTGCTTTCGTTGATGATGGAGTATGTTAATTCAGCTTTTGTAGCGTTGTTGCTGCTCATAACCATCTAAGGCTCTGTTCTTTCAACTGTACTTACTGACCTACTTTTGCTGAATTGAACTTGTTTGCTGAAGTTTGATTTTTTTTGTTTAAAACCTATTCTTGCTGAAGTTTGATTGTTTTTACTAGAATAGAATAGAGCCTTAGTAGTTAGTTGTAGAATACAAATCATAGCAATGATTAAGGGTCCTATCATTTTGTTTCTGTCATTAGTGTGTTTGATGGACAGAATGTTTATCTGTCAACTGACTTATGCCCATTTGTTTTTTCCGCAAGAAAGTGCTGAATCGGTGATCAAAGAGTTACAAAGGGGTAAAAGAGGGATTATTCAGACAGGTATTAGCGTATAATATAGGATTGGGTTTGTAGAAGCAGCCAACAAGTTCAGCAAACAAGTTCAATTCAGCAAATGTCACACTGCGTATTCTTTTTCACAATTGTTAGCTTCTCTTTACTGATCTTGCTTGTAGGGTTTTCAGTCTTTACCCTATACCTTGATCTTCCTAGATCAAGTAGATCTTGCCAATTAAGGATCACATGTTAGGATGTGTTCGTTGTATTGTTATAGATATTATTCTCCTCTCACTCTTATTCATTACCAAGGAATACAGATAGGCAATGGAAGTTCATGTATAGTGTATACTAGTCGCCTCACCATATGATATCGGTGATCAGGTTCATCATCTAGCAGTGAAGTTTGTAAACGGGCTGTTATTTCTTTTGATTTTCAATTTCTTAGGATCAATTGTATCTTGTTACCTTTTTGTAAGCATTTTTTGCAACCAATTGTAAGCATTACTGTTTATAACTTCATAATAATATCAAAATATTCCAGATTTCTGCACTTTACACTGTACTATACTTTTTTTTTTTCATGGTCAATAAGAAACTTTTATCTTTTTCGACAATTCTTTGTTTCTAATTTCTTAAGTGGCAAATGGGACCCAAAATAAAAGGAAGGAATGAAGAATTCATTTGTTCTAAATTTTTAATGAAGTGCTTTAATGAAGTGCGCTTATTGAGTTCCACGCAAAGATCTTACTTCCTAGTTCTCATGTCAAGTAAAGCATAATAACAAGTTAACAACTCAAGGTTACATTTAACATTTGTAAGAATTTGTTGTGTTTTTATATTTTTGGTATATTAATTTAATTAACTAATTTTTTTATTTTTTTATTTTTTTTGGTGTTCCATCTAGTTCACCCTTTGGGCTATTCCGGATTCGGGGATCAGTTCTAGGTGGTTAGGTTTCAATCCCCTCCCGATTGTTATTGCGGGGATCGAACACGGGTCCTTCCTACCAAGTGTATTCCCAATCACCACTACACCAACAACCAATTGGTATATTAATTTAATATTTGACTTTAGTTAATGATTGAAAGTTGTCTTCTTGAAAAGTTGGCATGGTAGTTTTCAGTTGGGCAAGGCATCAAGCATAATTTGGTTTAATGGTGGGAGCCTGAGCTTTTAAGTATGTAGGTTCTAAGTTTGTTTACCTGATTTACAAGTTTAGCTCCGTTCCTCTCCTGACATGCATCAAGTTCGTAAAAGTTCGTAAATGGACTGACTTTAATATAAGTACGTGAGATAGGTGGGCCAGACGCAGAATTCATGCAATCATGTACATTAATCCAATCAATGAGAAAATGAAAAAAAAAAGGTAAATGAAGTGACAATAAAATCATATACTATAAAATATAGATGCTTATAAATTAGTAATTCTTAAATGAACTCAACTTTATTTTATACTACGTCTACGTACATATTATTAGCAATAATATATAAAAGTATATTTTATATAACTAACATGTGATCCTTAATTGGCAAGATCTACTTGATTAATTTTTTTTTTTTAATACAAGTATATTTTGATTAGCGTTTTTTTTTAATGCTCTTTATTAGTGAAATTGATATATGCATAGGCGGATCTAGGGGGTGGCCTACCCCCCCTTATGCCCAGATTTTGATACATATAAATAAAAATTTTTGTGTAAAATTATAAATTTTGTAGTTGGTTTAGTTGGTTAGTTATTTGATAAATGGGTGTGACCCTCATTTGCATCAAAAAAAAAAGTTGGTTAGTTATTTGATGTATAGATGTGGGAAGGTTAAGGGTTCAATTTCCCTTGTTTTGCACATTTCTTTTTTATTTTTCGTGTGGATTTCTTTTACTCATATTTCGGCTTTATTAATTGAAATACTTTATAATTTCGGCCTGCTCTATAAATAAATTCTAGATCCGCCCTTAGATATATGAGAAATTTATGAAAAGTTGTATCATGTTCATAGGTCACTTTCTACAATCCACTTCATTTATTTATCATTTAACATTAATAAAATTTGATAGGATAGATAATTAATTTCCCTACATTATTTACTCTACAAAAAAAAAAAAAAAAAAAAAAAAAGTGTCAAACAAACCACCAAACAAGAGCAGTATAAAAATGAAAAAAAAGCAGAGTCGAATGAAATGAGAGGAAGAAGAAGAGGAGAGAGAAACAAGTTGAGTGATCAAACAATGAGTGGCGCAAATGACAGAGACGCTGACAAAGGATTACTCTGGAAACTTCCAGAAATCAAAACCAAGGATTTCGGCAAAATCGGTCCTGCTTTCAGCTTCGGAGCTGGCTGTGGTTTTGGCTTCGGTCTCGGAGTTATCGGCGGTAATCTCTTTCATTCACTCTCCAATCAACAATGTTTTCTTTTAATACACTTCTATGATTTAATTTAATTCTTAATTTTCTGAATTTAATTGTATGGAATTATTCCAATTTCAGCTCAAAAATTGAATTTTTTGGAGATATTAAATCGACTAAAAAGTTGAAGAGAGAATTATTTGAATTGTTGTTGAATTTAATGTTTGCAATTAGATTAATTGAGAATGTTATATTCAAAGGTGATTATTGTGTTTGATTAATGCTATGTTTCCTTAAATATTGCGTTAGATATTTAGGTCCAAGTTATTGGTGGTAATTAAAATTTTAAAATTTAGCATGTGATATACTTGGATGTGTACCATTCCTCGAATTCGTGTATTTGGGACTACAATTACAAGTATTCGACATGAATTCGTATTTAGATTACGGGTTTGATCATTTCAACTTTAATGGTTTTATGCCTTAAGTTGAAGTGTCCTAGAGGCATGGTTGTTCACAATTTTTATAAAGGATCAAGGCCATAATGCATAGGCAAGGCGCGTCTTTTTGTACACCGGTTGTTCATACCCATGTTGATTTACTGGGATTTCAATAAGGGATACTTGAGGTGAAATGAAGAGTCCGTGTGACATTGGTTGAATGTACCATTGTACACTAATACTGAACTAAATGATTCATTAGAGCAAGACTATGCTTTGATGATATCATGATACTAGCATCTTCATGATACAAGTTGATGCTTTGTTTCTTAATGCTAGCCGTAAAAACTATTGGTAGTTAGGAGTTATAAGTCTGTTATATCTAAATTTTTTGCCTTATTTGTTTTTTCAGGTTTTGGCATTGGCCCTGGGATTCCTGGACTGCAATTAGGATTAGGCGTTGGTGCTGGATGTGGAGTTGGTTTAGGTTTTGGATATGGAGTTGGCAGAGGTGTTGCTTATGATGACAGCAAAAGATATTCCAACATTGGTAGACCTTTTAACGGTTCATATGTTCCATCTCAGTAAGTATATCTTCTTTTCTTTGTCCTGAAATTTTATCTGGCTCAACTATTTCAGTACTTTCTTTGTATTGAAATGTTAATTTGGTTCCTTATTTTGCTTTCAATCTGTTTTACTCCCTCCTAAATCCAAATTGATTGAGGCCAAATCAGGCTGTATGACAAATTTTGTTCGAATTTCTTTTCATTATTGAAATTTGAAAATGCATTTGTTGAGTGTCATTATTAGGCTTTTCTGATGTACCATTTGAGATTGATTTTGTTTGGTTATGAGTATTGAGATAATATAATGAAAAAATTGAAAAACACTGTCCAGTGTAGTTGTCTATCTCTTTATTTGCTATTGTGGTCAAACGACTCGTGCCTTGGGAAAAGAGGGGTGTTTGCAATATGAAAGCTACCATGTCTAATATTGTGGAGGTGGTAAAGACTCAGCTTCCTGGCTGAATGTTATTCAATATCAGCAACTGTTGAAACCCAATTTTATCTTGTGAGTTGTGACCGGATTGATGCAATTCTAGAAGATTTGGGGTTCTAGAAGATTAGCTGTTATTTTATCTGGATGGCTAGACAAAGACCACATCACTTTTCCAACTGCTCACTATTTTGGAAAAGATCATCAATCCCAAATTGTCCTTAAATTATTAATACATTCTCCACCTATGTTATGAAAGGAATAGGTCTCTATAGGGGTCTAATGTGTTGATAATTGACATTATTTGGGATTTTTGTTAATTTAGCTAGTTAAGTGTTAAAATCTTTAACTGGCCTGCTAAAACATATAAAGAAGAAGACTGTTGATTTACCTCAAAACTGCTGTCACTATGTGCAAAGATTATGAGTCGATATATTTACTATCATTCCTTCTCTCCTAACTATCCTGACTCCTTTTATCAGAAGCATAAGTCTTCTAGTACTCATCCTCTCTCTTTACTGAAAATAGCATCACCATCAATTGCATTATTGTTTCAGTTGCTACCTTTTTCTTTCCTTAACTAAATGCACATCTTTCTTAGATAATTAGTCTCCAAACTTAGCATAGTGCCATCATCAGTTGCCCAAGCACCATAAATTGCAGTAGTTTGTCAGAATAAAAAAGATCTGGATATCCCTTGAACATAACTTGTTTCTAATTTGGTGAAGCATCTCTTCCGGTCAGCCTATTGATGCTTCAATGCTTTTCAAAGGCTGTAACCTTCCTAGCATGAGTAGATTCTGCAACTCTCTTGAAAATATTAGGTATTAACAGCTTTGGCTCTGTAGTCACTTACTGACTTACATATTCTTTTACAAATGAAACTATGTCCAGACTATTAGTTCAACATCTCAGCTTCTGAAAGTTTTGTCTTTGATAAACAGATCACACATTATGCCTCATATTCTCTGGAAAGCTGAGCCATAACTTTTAAATGGCGTCCAGAATATTGTCAGGACACATTACTAAAAGTCTGGTCCTCAAATCTGATAACTGTATGTGTATTCAGTCTTCACTCCCCGAAGCTTCGATAGAAGAGAGTATTAATTTGTCTTGGATAAATTGTATAGTACAACCATATGAGGATTCTCTAAAATTTCTGTAAATTCTATAAATGGGAGGAATGTGATCTGCTTTTTGGCAACAGTTTGTAGGCTAATTGTTCTAACTTATGATGCATAATGTGCACATTGTGAAATTATGGTATTAGATTTGTATCCAGCTTTTTTTTCTGGAGTGAAAAGGATTTCTTCAGTAATCAGTATGTCAGGCTGGGATTAAATGTTCACTTGGTTGGTTTATGCTTTAAAAGATATAGCACTTCAAGTTAGCCTGATTTGTGGCCTAAATTTTCATACCTACCTTTGTCACATTAGCCATTTGGTTAATTTTGGTACGTGTGCTTTCCAGTAATGAGGTAGGTGCACTGGTGGATGAGCTTGTCATCAACACCAAGAAGCTGATGGTAGCAGCTTCAAAGGAAATGGACAAATGGAAACGTTAGACAGAAGCATCCCAGGTCTTAATATAGGTAAAACCTTCTCATGTCTTCTAAGTCATTGATTCTGAGGTGGAGCACATTTAAATCCTCCAATAAAAATAATGGTAGAGCCTTATACTTGTATATTGTTGAAATTATACTATGTAATTTTCTGCTAATCTTGGTTCAAATAATTCTATTCCAATGTATTGAATTTACAAATATTTTCTTTATTTTGTTCTTTTATTTAAGATTATTTTTGCCGTGCTTATTTATAAATAGGTTACTGATGCAAATAACATGAAGAAATGTATCCAATTTGGTATACCTCTTTACTTGTACCGCCCCGAATTGTGTCATTTTCTTTTTTGCTGCTTAACTATTGGGTTTATGCAAGAAAATGGGCGCCTTTGTTCAGCTCAGATATCTAGTCTGCATATTTCAGGTCTTGAGACGTGATTTTTCAGAGCAAATAATGAAGTACACGGATTTATGTAAATGTTATTAACCTCCTTGCTCCCCTAAAAGTACTCCAAAAACAGAGAAGGCTTCCATAATACAGAATAACAAAAAGGTACCGTAAATAAATTTTGAGCACCACTTAAGTTTCTATTCTACCTTTCTGTATCTATACCTTGATAGACCAAGCTGGTAGTCTCAGAGATCAACATTCCAAACTGCCGCATCCCCTTCTCCACAGGAATCATGAATGTCTTTCATCCTCTCGACTGATTTGCATATTCCACTGCAAGACCAGTCGAATGAAGCTACACATACGTTTCCTGCTTGTGATTTCCATTCGCAGTCTTTCACATGTTTGAAAGTGAGAGTTTAAATCAGATGTATGGTAAAGCAAACTAATAACAGATATTTATGGTCAATACTTGTTCTCAAAGACCATTTGGAAATCGCTTAGACAAGTATCAAGGAACAGAGGAGAGGTAATGATATACCTGGAGGTGTTCCACAACACATGGAACGATCATCGACATGTTCAACTTCCAAGCCAAATAACCAGGCACCCAGAGAAACATCTTCATTAGCATAGCGGTGTAGAATGGGTCTGTGGACATGATGACAAATTGTTTTATAAAATAAGATGGAATGTCATGCAGTTGCTCTCTGCTAAAATACTCCTTAGTATATGTACTGTAGTTTAGCTAACTGAAATCTATATATAACTCACGCATTAATAGATATGTAAGTCGCAAGGTCCCTGGAAATGGCGTAGATTTGCCCAGTAGCATGTCTGAAATACTTGTTTCCCTCTTCTCCAAATTTCCAGTATTCTGGTTCATGATACTTCACACCTCTGCACACAATGTAAGAATTATACGTTATTAGACGAATTTTGTGAACTAGCTAGAGTTTTGTGATACTGATTTGTGCACGCTCTGTTTTCTTTTGTTATTAATGTTGAAATGTTGATGGTTATGCATGTTAGTTAATAATACTTACTTCTGAGATAAAACAGGTCCAGACTTCATGCAGCCAATATATATCCTGGGTTTTGATCGGTATCTTGCTAGAGAAGTGACTAATGTGCCTACAACAGTTTTGCAGGATTAACACACTGCGTTAGAATCTGAAGATGTAATCGAAGATGAATGTGAGAATCTAATAGCAGTATTTATTTTACTGACCCAAATTTAAATGAACATCATCATCGATTTTCATATAAAACTCTGCATTCCATAGAGAAACTGCTGTGGAAAAATACAGTCGCGTCTTGGTGGAAAGCTCGTGGTAACCTTCAACATGGTTGAGGCGAAGGAAGTCGTCATACTCTGCTTCTTCTGCATCAATTGTTTTGTCAAGAACTCCTCCAGGTGTTGCACTGTGTCCTATCACAAACCGAATCACTATGCCTTTTTCTTGCTCCAATTTCTTTAGTTTCTCGCCTGCATCATTAACTAACCTGATAAGAAAATGTATTACACAGTAATAGTTCTAACACACTTGAATTTCTCACCTTGAGGCATCCATGTTTCTCTGACAGACTCTCTCCGTCTTCTGCTACTGAATGCAGTGTTGATTCCAACCACCACAAAAGCCTTCTGTAGAGTATGATTAGATGCCTTTTCACCTGTTATTTCGGGGTCTGCTTGACTCGTCCGAGCTACAGCTAGCTCCATTTCCAAAGCTGAGATTTTCTTATCCAGGGATCTTCATCATTTTTGTTTGCCAGTTCAATGTACAACAGGTAACAGCTAAAGTTAGTTCTCGGAAACAAGATTATTCTTAGGATCAATGTCAAAACATCCAGAAAAATTTGCTTACTGAATTGCTTGGTGTGTCTTAGCAACTTCCCCCATAATATCTCCAGATTTTCCTTCAACCAAAATCTGATTAATCAAAAAATAAACAAATTTAGCACTCAAAATCCAGCTGCTGAAAAAACCATAAACTGCTCAACTTACGCGCTTATTATGATCCACATTCTTCGCCATTGCTGTGGCTTGGAGCTTCTTAGCTTTGACATGGGCAGGGATGAGTGCAACCTGTTCTTGAACCTCCGACTTATGACGTCTCCAAGTCTGACTCGTAAAGAGTGTTCCTGCCAGAAAGCTGGCAATGCAGAGTAACACTATAGCTTTCCCAGGAACAGCTTTTCCTCTCATTTTTTTCGATTCGGTATCAGGCTGCATTGGTGACACCATTACGCACATAATCAATCTTAGTCCTGCTACAAGCTTCTTTTATTCCTGTCAAGTTTCAGGTTTCGTAAGGCTATCAACTAATCAGTTAGCAGTATCACTACATTCGTCCAATTAATTTCTGTATAATGACATCTCCAAATATGCTACAAGTATATACCTATTTCAAATTAGTCTTGTGAAATAGCTTTAATCTTATCTATCAATAGGCACTTCAATGGAAGTCAATTTACTAATATATAAGGCAAAATTATGGGCAGGAAAATGGAATTTCTTGTATAAAGAAAATACTACCATTTTCTTTTTTGGTAATTTAGTTATGTAAAATATATACTAAGGACTTTTACATTTTATATATAAAATATGGGGTTTGTTCTTTTCTTTCAGGTGTACCCTAAATCATAAATTTTCAGTTACCCATCAAAGTGCCATAAAAGTTACATGATCACTGTATAGTTTGTCGCATGAGATAGAAGCAAGTGGCCTAAGAAATTCCAGTTTTGGCCAAAAAGAATTTGTGGTAATTTTGCTAGTTAGTAGCAAGGTAGGTAAATATATAGTCTAACCTTTCTTCTAAGGCTAGTACTGAGAGTATAATGCAGAGGTAGGAACAATAGTTGAAGTGATCATATATTCATGGTAGAAAACATATAAATTACAATTAAGCTAATTATTGATTTCTCCAGTGAAGTTAACTAATTACTCTCAAAGTAAGAGAAATGAATTACACAAAATAAGGTAAAGAAAACAAAATATTAGAGTAACGAACTAGCAACAAACATATAAATATATAATCTATAATGTAGTAAATAATTTTAACGTCTATATGTTGTAACTTTTTCTCAAGGTCAAATATAAAAATTAAAAGAACACGACCTTAAACTTGAATTTATTAGAACTGGGAATATCGTTAAATGTACATTAGAGAGGAAAATCAAAAGAAAAGAAAAGCAAATTCGACATAAGATGAATTGAAATAGCTTATAGCTAGGGATAGTAAACATCCAAAAAAAAATTAAAATACTAGTAAAAGGAAGAGTAATATACCTTATCATGGCTGACATAATGATTATACTAGCAAGAGACTAGTAGACATTCCTCTTTATATATTTAATTTTTATACATTTTTCCCCTAATTTTGCTGAATTTTCTCACTAGCTATTTTCTTACAAAATCTTTTATTTTTCAAGAAAAATTTGTAGATGAATAAACAATGAGCTTGAATATGATGGTAGCTCTCATATTAGATGGTCGAACTTCTGCTGCTAGCTAGGGTGGTAGTTTACTCATGTGGTTTACATGGTTTAACAAACACTTTTCATATTTTAATATTACAGCCATTCAACTTCAACTCCCTTTATTTGTGGCTTGCTTTGTATTTCTTTATTTAACAAGCAATTGTTTATTTCAAGAAGTTTTTTTTTATGAAAGTTATTTCAAAATTTTGAATAAATTTCTCATACAAGTTTGGTGAAAAACTCTGACTGTTTATTTCACATAAAAATAAATAAAAGCTCTTTTCCTTCAAAAAAAAAAAAAAAAAAAAAAAAAAGCTCTTTATATTTTAAGTTTATCAAAATTATCACTATAACTTGAGCTTATATATAATAAACTTAAGTTTTGCATATAAAGAGTTAAAAATAGGAATAGTAAGTAAATAAAACGTTAATTTAACAAAACTAAATGTGATTTGGCATGTAAGCTAATTTGACAATTTAACCTGTTATTGGAGTTGCTCTAAAACTTTTACGGATGTATATGAAAATTAAAAGTGAAATATTTGGTTAAATCAAATTTTAATTACACTGACACATCATACCTTTGCGGTTAACTTAGACACTATATTCGAAATAAAATAGCTAGGTATCGTTGAGAAAGAGACAACAAAAGGTCATAAAATTGGGGGGGGGGGGGGGTGTTGTGAAATAGAATTGGAATTCGTCACGTTATCTAGTCCAAGATTTCAAGTAATGGTCAATTCATAGCGAAATAGAGCCTTTATTTTTATTAATAATGTATGCTTAAGTGAACATCTACCTCAGGTATTATGTCTTCAATTAATACCGAAATTGATATTATTGTTAAGAAATTATTACTAAGGGCCTGATTGACTGGACTGGACTGAACTGAAATAAATATTTTATAAGAGAAGGAAATTATGAGCTGAACTGAACTGAGCTGAACTGAACTGAATTTCAACATAAGAGAACAGGTCGTAATTGTTGATATAAAAAATTAGGGTTCATATGTATTTTAGGGATACTTTAAAATTAAATGTTTTTCTAAATTGTGATTTACAATCCTAAATCGAGCATATATATTAGCTCTATATAGAGTTAGGGTCTGTTCTCTTACGTTGAAATTCAGTTCAGTTCAGTTCAACTCAGTTCAATTCGGTTCGGTTCGGTTCGGTTCGGCCCGGCCCGGTCCAGCCCAGTTCAGCTAAGTTCAGCCAATGATAACCCCAAATTTGGGATAAACCCTAAATGATCTGAAGAACAACATATTATAATTGACACATATTAGTGACTTAATTATGTTCGTGTGAGCTTGAATTATGTTAAATCGACTTCTAAATGCTTTTCCCTAATCTAATTTTAATTTATACTAGATGAAGCGCGTGCAATGCACGGCTTATTTGAATTATTATTATTATTATTATTATTATTATTATTATTATTATTATTTTAATTTATGGGCTAAAATTGGTTATATATTTGGATAAAATTCCTAATATCTAAAGATAATATATATTATATATTAAATTAATTTAAATTTAAAAATCTCATTGGCCAATTTTTCTTACGTGGCATTTGAATTATTTAATTATAAAAGATTATAATAATTTTTTATTTAATTGACTACTACTAAGATTTATAATCCAACGTAGCGCACTAAGAAAATTAGATCCTACGTGGCTCTCTAAAAACTCGGGAAAAAACTCCCCTTTATATATATATATATATATATATATATATATATATATATATATATATATATATATATATATATATATATATATATATAGGAAGGCTCATGTAAGAACCCTCCTCTATATAAGAACCCAATCTTATATAAGAATCAATCTCAGCCCTTTATTAATTTTGATCTAACCATCTAAAATGAACCTTTAGTAATGGCATTTCTATAATTTTAAAGAGTTTATATTTAGAACATATTAAAAATTTTAGAGCATAGGAAAAAGTTTAGAACATAAGCTGAAAAAATTTAGAATATAAGCAGAAAAAATTTAGAACATAAGCAAACAAAAATTTAGAACATAAGTTGAAAAAATAATTTGATTTATTTTTATGTTTTACTCTTAAGTTATTATGGTTTACTTTCGAAATTTTTTTTTTTTTTTTTTTTTTTTTTTTTAGAGATAACCTATGTAGGAATCGAACCTACATCCTCTATGCATTTGCAAAGTGCTCTACCAATGGAGCTAATAGGTTTTAGCATTTTTTTTTTTTCCATATACCTACGCCTTTTTATATGTTCTAAATTATTTTCCTATTATCTTTTTCATCCATTACTTTAAATTTTTCCGTCTATGCTTTGAATTTTTTTGTATATTCTAAAAATTTTCACCCAATATTCTAAATTTTTTCTATCTATAATCTTAAAATTTTTCCCTATGTTCTAATTTTTTTCACCCTATGTTCTAAACTTTTTTTCCTATGTTCTAAATTTTTCACCCTATGTTCTAAACTTTTTTTCCTATATACTAAATTTTTTCACCCTATGTTCTAAATTTTTTCCCTGTGTTATAAGCTTTTTTCGCCTTATGTTCTAAACTTTTTCCCTATGTACTAAATTTTAGAACATAAGGGAAAACTTTAGAACATAAGGCGAAAAAATTTAGAACATAAGGGAAAAAGTTTAGAACATAAGGGAAAACTTTAGAACATAAGGGAAAACTTTAGAACATGAGGGAAAAATATTACATAAACTTTAATTACCTTTTTCTTCCATAAGTAATTTTTTCATCTGGTATAATAGTAATTTCTTCATCTGATTTTTCTTCATTTTGGCCTTGCATTTTGCTGTAATTTTAAGAAATAAAAAACATTAGTAACATTCCAACATTAGTAATATATTTTAAACATAAGAAAGTTTAGAAAATGCTGAATATAAATTAGAACATGCTGAAAATAGTTTAGAACATGATATCATAATTATATCACTAACAATTAAGAACACAACAAGAGGTATCACTAGCAAGAGGTAGATTTAATTTTTGTTCTCTTGTTGCACTAAATCTAGGTATACATTATCCAAATAGTACTTCATTAGTACTATTTGAATGGAAGCTTCATTAGTACTTCGTAATAAATTAATATACCTTTGCAATGGACATCATTTATCAAGGGCATCACAAAAACAAGTTGTTCAGGAATGTCACTAAGGATGAAAGTCTAACTGATCTACACAAGAAGTACTACAAAAGTTGTCTTTGTAGACATTATATAGTTTTAACTATTTGAAAGATTCATTCAAGTCCAATGCATTTAAAGGTCTTTCAAGATTCAAGCAATTTCTAAACCAATAATCACCAACTTCCTCAAATTATTCCCAATTAAGGGAAGAGACCTCATATAAAAATAAAAAAGGCAACGAGACTTGTTCCAATATGAATACAAAACCACCTTGAATAGAAAAGAGCTAGCATTTTTGCAAGATTCAAGCATTTATTCTGACTGTTGGGAATCAGATCTCAGTCAAGATCAGTAACTATTGGCACCAAAGCAACTTTAGCTATACACTGACATCAGATCACTACTGCTATACACTGATATCAGATCACAAACCTCATTAGTGGAAAGTACATCAGTTCAGACTTCAGAGTAAGAGAATGAAGCTACAAGTCTCAAGCTGGCTAGATACTTGTCAGCATTTTGCAAATAGCATCTTTTCATAAACATATATAAAAGAATGGTGTATCATAAACAAGATTTAGAACATGCTGAGAAAGAGTTTCGAACGTGCTGAGAAAGAGTTCCGAACATGCTGAGAAATAATTTGGAACATGCTAAGCTTATTTACAAAATCACAGAAGTCTAATACATTTTGCACTAATAGTCTGATTTACAATAATCAAGAGCAGCGGTGAAATAATTCGAACATAAATCGAACTAATTAATATGCAAAAAATCGAACAAAATAATTCGAACATAAATAAAAAATAAAAAAAATAAAAATCGAACAAAATAATTCACGTAAAACCACCATTTCACTATCAACCAGTAAAGCAGCATTTCATTTCATGATCATCACAAATCACACTACCGCTAATGGGAAATGCAACAGTTGATTATAAGACATATAATACTTGACAAGAAGACAAATAATAAACATAAAACCATTAACATTCATTAATAGAAATTAAACTAATTGCACAAATACGAAAAAAACGCAATTGATAAATCAAACTGATGAAATCGAAAATAAAAGAAAATTGAAAACTGATGATATCGGAAAAAAAAAAAGTCAAATTGATGAATCGCGAAAATCGAACAAAATCAACAATGAAAAATGATAAATCATAAAATTCGAACAAAATCAGGAAAAATCGAACAAAACGTATATAAATAGTAAAATCGAACATAAATCAAACATCAAACGAACAAAATCGAGTATAGAAATCGCGAAAATCGAACAAAATCAATAATGAAAATCATGCGAAATTCATAAAATTAGAACAAAATCGAAGAAAATGTACCTGATTTGAGCAATTTAGGTTGTTTTAGCAGCAATTTGGGCTAGATTTTGGGATTTGTGGAGAGAGAAAGTAAAGAGGGTTGAAAGTTTGAGGAGAGAGAAAATATTGGACGGTTGGGGAGGGTTTAGGGGTAGGTTTTTTGTTTTAATCTTGACCGCTCATCCTAATCTAATCCTACAGATGTGATTGGTTCTTATATAACTAAAATTCTTATATAACTATGGATCTTCCCTGATCCCTCCTCTCTATTATATAACTAATATTAGATTGCAAAAAAATCATTGAACATGAGAATTAAGGAAGAAGAAGGCATGATGACGTCATGTATGAGGGCTTGGGAAACTTGGCAGAAAATTTTCATGTTTTTAAAAATAGCAGGATATAAAATACCAAAAAAAGAATTATAGGTGGTAATTACTAAAACGACAATAATAGTAGGTGTTTATTTAAAAAAAATAAAAAAAAAACCGATTAATTATTCTAAATTAGTCTGCCCTTGTTTTTATTACGTAGTACAATATTTTCTTTCTTTGCATCAATCATATTACACATTGTCAAACACGACAGCTTTGATTGTACCGTGTACAAAATACAAGTTGCACATAGAAATTGTTGCTATTAAACCTAAGAGGGATAGTAATCTTAGTTTCGTTTAGCCTTGGGATTGAAACAAGCTACTCAAAAGCTTGTGCTTAGTAAGTGATCAAGCAATATAATTGTTCTGTCAGATTATTAATCACAATTATCATGCATCTTCTTCTGTTAACTTGGCCATGATTATGATCAGTTATGCTAGCTAATTCATACAATACCCCTTCACAGAACTTTATAACTTATATCAAGGAAGAGACAATAATCAAGTTCATAATATATAGAGTAGTAAGCAAGGAACAACATAAAATCACTTATTGCGTTACAATCAAATGAAGAGTAATATAATGAGTAACGATAGCAACAATATCAGTAACTACACTGATTAAATTATTTATCAATTAATCAATATTAAGGGTTCAGCCATCATCTAATGAGGTATTAGGACTAATTTCTTTTTATTCTGTTCTTTTTCTTTATTTCCTTGTCATGTTTTATTTTTCTGTAGCCAGTCTGTTTTGGCGGCTTTCACAGCTGGTCATAGTTGTCCTTTTGTATGAGCTGTTAAGGAAGGAAGGAAGGTAGGTATCAGCTCTAGGGTTGGCCAGTTGCTGTAGTATATATATTTCAAGGGTTTGTAAGAGCAGCCAGAATGATTAAAAAGAAATATCAATGAAACAGTAACAATATTGCTCTGCCCCTAAATTCTCTATTCTCTATTTTTGCTCACACTGCTAAGGTTCTCAAAGTTTACATGGTATCAGAGCAAGGTTGTCTGAGGATTTAGAAATTGGTAAGACGTTGTTGTTTCATACTTTTCAATCATATAAACACATCTTCTTTCCCAAAAGACTGAATCTTTTGGTTTCATATATTATTATTACAAGTTAAAGTTTTGATCTTTGAAGAAATGGGTAGCACTGGAACGGTGGATACAACTCACCCCTTATATTTACACCCATCTGAAGGAGCTAATTCAGTGAACATTTCAAAGCTGACTAGTTCTTCAGATTACAGAATGTGGAGAAGATCTATGGAAATAGCATTGTCTTCAAAGAGAAAGCTCGGCTTTGTAACTGGTACAGTGGTGAAGGATCCAAAAGATTCAGCCAAGGCAGAGATGTGGAATACCTGCAATGACATGGTAATTTCTTGGATCTTTGCTTCAGTTTCTGATACAGTAAAAAAGTCTATCATGTTTTTTAGAACTGCTAGAGAAATGTGGTTGAATCTTGAACAAAGGTTCTCTGTAGTAAATGGTTCTAGAAAATATAAGTTGAGCAAGCAACTGTATGAGTGTAAACAACTGGGTATGCCTGTCAATGAATATTACACTAATATGAGTGTGTTATGGGAGGAGTTGGAATCCTTAAATCAATTACCAGTGTTTACTACTTACGATAAAGAGATAGACACTTTTCTTAAGGAATTGAATGCGCAAAAGGAAGAACAGAAACTGTTTCAGTTCTTGAATGGTCTTGATGATGATTATGGACCACAAAGAAGCAACTTGTTGATGATGACACCTCTGCCTACTGCTGATATAGCATGTTCATGTACTCCCTCCGTCCCAGTTTACTTGCAACATTTTGACTGGACACGCTTGTCGATGCAAATGTTTGACCGTTGATATCTTTTATTATAAATTTATATAAGTTATAAAAAGTTTATATTAAGAAACTATACATTAAAATAGACCCAACAACATCTTACATGATTACATTGACTTTCATATAATAGTTAAAAAAGATGGTCAAAGGGAGATGTGTGAATAGTGCAAAAAGTCAAACCGTTGCAAGTAATTTGGGACGGAGGGAGTATACAACAAGAAGAGTTGCAAAGAGATGTTCTTAAGACGGTGAAAACATAAAATGAATCATCTGCAATGTATAGTGAAAATGATAGTGAATCATGTACAGCTTGTGGTAAGGCTGGACATACAGCTAAAAAATGCTGGTATGTTGTTGGTTTTCCTAAGTGGCATCCTAAAGCAAGGTCACAACAAAAGGGAAAGGGCAAGGTAACAGCACCAACCAACAACAAATGGTCTTAGGACAAGAGGACCAATAGTAGCAATATAGCTGCAAATGCTCAATGTGCAAATGATGGAGCAACAGTGTCTTCTGTTACAAAGCAGCTAGATCAAATGATCAAAATGCTGCCAAATCCCACAAAGCAAGCAAGTTTTACTTCAGAAACCGATGATGAGCTGGATAATAATTTTGCAGGAATGGTGTCTTGTAATTCTGCTACTGTTGTGTACAAGGAGTGGATCATTGACTCGGGAGCTTCTGATCATATGACCACAGATCTGCACAAACTTGTTGATCCTGTAAGAATGTGTGGCAACACAAAAATCAACTTGCCTAATGGAGATACCACAACCATTAGTCATGTTGGTAGTCTGAAGTTAAAAAGTGGGCTGACATTGAAGAATGTGCTGTGTGTGCCTGAGTTCAAGCATAATTTATTGTCTGTGAACAAGCTAGTAGCTCAAGATGGATGCAAGGTATAATTTTACCCAACATTTTGTGTGATACAAAATGAAAAAACCAAGAAAATTACAGGGCTTGGGAAAGCATTAAATGGGCTTTATTACTTGGTGAATGAGCCTATAGAGCTGATTTTAAGCAAGCTGAATGAACTTGCAAAGGAAAATCGGGTGAATGTGAGTGAACTGACACAATCTCAAGCCAACAATGCTCATCTGAAAATGGGAATCTCAAATATAGGAGCTGAACAGGAAAAATTCAGTAAAGCTGTGATGTGGCATCACAGATTGGGTCATGCTCCCTTGGACAGAATCAAAAGTGCTGTAAATTTGTCAAAGGAGGATATGACTAAAACTGGTGTATGTATAACATGTCCTTTGGCTAAGTTCACAAAATAGCCATATGCAAGGAGCAAATCATGTTCTTCTAGAGCCTTTGAACTGATACTCCTAGACACTTGGGGTCCTTACAGAGTATGCAGCGGAAAGGGGTATAGATATTTTCTCATTATTATTGATGATTACTCAAGAACTACCTGGGTTCATCTCATGAAGCTTGAATCAGAAGCATTTGCAATCATACAGGAATTTGTGCAATTTGCTCTGGCACACTTTGAATCAAAGGTGAAGAGAATAAGAACTGACAATGCTTTGGAGTTGGATGATAAAAAATGCAGAGAATATTTTGCAGAAAAGGGTATTGTTCATGAAACAACCTGTGTGGATAGACCACAACATAACGGTAGAGCAGAAAGAAAGCACAGGAACATTCTTGAAATGTCTAGAGCTTTGAGATTTCAAGCTGGTTTGCCTCTCTCTTTTTGGGGAGATTGTGTTCTTACAGCAGTGTATATTACAAATAGACTGCCCACAACTGTGCTGAATGATATCTCACCTTATGAGAAGTTGTATGGGGTTAAACCTACATACAAGGAAATGAGATCTTTTGGTTGCCTGGCTATTGCTTACAATCCAAAAAAACACAAAGATAAGATGAAGGAAAGGGGTGTTCTATGTCTTTTTCTGGGATATCCTTTGAATAAAAAAGGATATAGATTGCTAAATCTTTTCACAAACTCAACATTTGTGTCAAGGGATGTGAAATTTCACGAGCATATTTATCCATATTCTCTTCCACGTGATGAATTGAAAAAGCTTATGCCAGAAGACAGAGATCATGATATAGGCAATCCCAGAAATGGATCAATATGGGATGAGCCATTGATGAATGTCGATCAAGAGGAAGTAACTGATGATGTAATTCATGTAATTCACTCTGATGAAGATTCTTCTCAAATACAACAATCAACATCATCTCAGATACATGCTTCACCCAGGAAGTCAACCAGACCAACTAAGAAACCCAGTTGGATGGATGGGTACCAAGTGGGATGTGCAATTGCTGAGCCAGTCAACAGAGTCATATATGCTCCTACAGACAAGGTTTTCTCATGTTTTATGGCTTCTCTTGAGAAACATGAGGATCCAGTGACTTTTGCTCAAGCCATTCAACAAGGAGATCACTGGATAAAGGCAATGGATCAAGAATTGGAAGCTCTAGAGGGGAATCACACCTGGATTGTCACTGATCTTCCTAAAGGGAAAAGAGCTATAGGAAGTAAGTGGATCTATAAAACAAAGTTTCTTCCAGATGGTACAATTGATAAACACAAGGCAAGACTTGTCATTTTTGGAAATATGCCGAGATATGGATTGGACTATGATCAAACCTTTGCTCCAGTGGCCAAACTAACCACTGTAAGAGCATTACTTGTTGTAGCTTCAATGGAAGGATGGATAACACATCAAATGGATGTAAAAAACGCATTCTTACATGGTGATCTCTCTGAAACAATCTACATGAAATTTCCTCAAGGCTATGTAGGTCCAGGCAAAAGAATACAGGCTGATATGAGCAAGCAGGAAAATGAAAAGGTGTTGAAGCTGTCAAAGTCCTTGTATGGACTTAAACAAGCAACGAGGCAATGGTTTGCCAAGCTGTCCACTGCATTGAAAAGTTTTGGATTTATTCAGTCCAAGACTGATTACTCCTTATTCACAAAAGTTAAAGGTGATCAATTCACTGCAATCTTGGTGTATGTAGATGATTTGATATTGGATGGTAACTGTGAAAAGGATATAACTCAGGCTAAGGCGTTTTTGTCCAATCATTTTCATATGAAAGACATGGGTGAGCTGAGCTATTTTTTGGGGATTGAAGTGCATAAATCAAGTCAAGGTATATTTCTGTCACAGAAGAAATATACACTTGATTTGATAAGAGAATATGGTGCTGCTAATCTCAGACCTCTGAAACTGCCCATGGATCCGAATGTGAAGCTGATTCATAATTCAGGAGACTTGCTTCCAAGGCCTGAAACTTATCAGAGATTAGTGGGAAAGATGAT